CATTCAAAAGTTCCAGGGCAGTCGAGCTCAAGTGACAGAGATTTTTCTTTGGCTCCCTTTTCCTAATTGAACTGTAGGAAGTTTTTCTAGCCCAGTGTTGTTGTTTAGGCGATGTATGTCAATACCTTTCTGTTGCTGGTGCTATGAAAGGAGCCACTAAGACAATGGGCACAATGAACAAAGTGATAACCCTATGATGATCTTGCAGGAAATGCAACCTCAACAGGTAAAAATGAGACAGAGTGAGTTGATTCTCCCTGAAGTATCATTGATGTTGTTGCCAGTCTGGAATGTTGCTTCTTATCGCTTTTGTTTGTTCAGTTCTGAAATTGATAACTTGAAGGGCAGTACTATCTTGTGCAAATAATATGATCCTCTATAAAATAGGTGATTATACATTTATAGCATGACGAGAACGATTGTGTTTTCTGCTTGTAAGTCAACGCCAAAAGCTTTTCGTAATCACATGACAAGCTCGTGAGAGCCCCATAGCTGAGACGTGTAGAAGCATCAATGACGAGGTTAGCGAGCATACATTCTTGCTTGGTGTTCGCATTTGGGCGGCTGCAAAACAATATGCCACTTCTTCCCTGGTCTCTGGAGATCTTCGTCTCCAGATGCCTAATCGTGCTGGCGGCGACAGCAGCAGCAGCAGCAGCAGCAAGCGATCGGTCCGGGAGCTGCAGCACCGCCTCTACTTGTCCCTCCAGGGATTCATGCTTCTCGGCTCCAGGCTGGCTGTCACGGTAAATCGATGGCTATCGCGTTTCCATCATGAAGATTCCAGGTGTTGGCAAATGTAGCATGTTACCGGATCCCAAACTCGGGCCGCTGCGCCTTTCAGGTGACTTGATTTGGAGAAGTTTGGGGGAACTTGCTCTGATGGTTTGATCATGTTTGAGTCTCCTCTGGCACGAACGTCACCTCCGATTCTACAGCCTACATGGTAAGAGCATTCAGGTGATGATCGGCTTGCTTCTCTTACGATGTCCTGCTCGTGTCATCTGCTGCCAGAAGTTTCGCCCCAGCTCAATTCCCTCAACGATGTCCACGGGGCGGTGTTAGCGATACACATCTCAAGCGAGTAGCGAGCTTACTAACGAGCACGGCTTGACCTGGATACAGGAGTCGAGCGGTCCGAGCGAGTCGCGCAGGACAGTTTGTGGTCTGTGCAGTAACTTCTTCACGACTTGCGCACGCACGCTGGCGCGGCTCCGTGTGGAGGAGGATTTGCAGGACCAGCTGCTGGCAGAGCGTCAGGTATTCGTCAAACATTTTCTTTCGCTGGGCAGGAAGCTGCTGTCCGGGTCCGGGGGATTCTCAAGGATGGGGGCGGCTTTGCAGGCGGGATAGCATGAAAACGCTACGGGGAACGATGGCCGCATTCTCGCTGGCATTCTCAGAGTCTGAGCGACTTTGTTCATCTCCTTGTCCTTCTTTTTTGGACAGGATACCCTGGTAAAGATGTGCATCGGGCTACTATAATGAAAGCAACCACAGGTATGTGTGTCTCACGGAGCTCAACTGTG